CATGCATACGATTTTACTGTTTCTATTTAGTACAATCGATAGGAAGATCGTTGGGCATGATTTTTACATCAAAATATAAAATAAAAATACACTATAAAAACAAAGTTACTTTACTTTTAAAAATTCACTGTCGTGTTTATTATTTTATATATAATTTGTAAAAATGTTCAAAAGGCTTCAAATAATTTTCATCGAATCTCAACTTGTCTTATATGTTTTGGAAATATTAATTCGAATAGAACCTTATTTCTTATATTAGTATCAATATTTCTAGAAACGTGTAAGACAAGTTGAGGTATTACGAAAATTAACTATAAATATTAGCTTTATTAATTATAAATACAAGATTCTAAATGCGTTCCGTTAAATTTATTGAACGAATCTATTTTGTTAGTGAATGGAACAAGAAATTCTTTCGATTCCACGAAATTCCATTAATTGAGAAATAAATAAATATTTTTGTTCTATTATAACGTGTTACTGTGGTGGGAATTTTAAATCTTCGAATGATAGAAATTCTCTCGAGTATCAAAGTAGCACTTTGCAAATGAAGTTCAGCATATAAATGTGTAATGAAGTTCAGCATATAAGTAACCAATGCAAACCAGTATTCGTGTCGATGGATTTATCGTTGCATGTTCCATAAAGACGAACCGCAAACGATCGTGTCCGTAAATACACTCCACACTTATGCGAGTATTTGCATTCGTGAAGGTCTTCTTTATCTTTTTTTCGCTAACATACTAGTTTGCCACTTAACATACAGCAGGTAACCCACAACTATAATTCATTCTTAAGAAGAATGTGTGCCATAGGGATATCTATTTACAAACATTCACTATAATAGAACCTGTGGTGCAGTGATAGAACAAAAAGGTGTAAAGAAAAGTAAGCATTGCGCGTACATTTAGATTCCCAATTAATAACTATTAATTTACTGGCATGCATTATTTGACATCAACTAATGGCGATATGTTTAAAACTTTCATTAAATACAACTTAATAGTTTTCGGGTCTTGAAACGGTTATGAAGAATTTTATTTCGATTAGCAGTTATATATAAAGAATGAAAATTTACAATTACCAGCTGCTTTAAAAAATGTATAGTTATCCCGAAAATTGTATTCAGACTTAATAGGTCTCATTTCTGTGTATAATTGCATATTCATTCAAGATGCATAGCTTAGAAATGAAAATGATTCCAGTGTTTCAATATATATTTATGCTGCATAGTATAATCAAGTTGAAAAAATAAAGAAAAACGTTATGTTATCAACGAACTGTTGTACCAACTGACAGTCAATTGAGTTACTTAGTGACAACGAATCGAACTACACGTACAATCGATAAAGAATAACATGATTATCGATATCTGTAAATAAGTAGTTGGTAAAGTAGTAAATTTTGAGAAGTGATAAGAATTTTATGCAGACAAGTTATCGTCAAGGTCGAGCTTAAATTATTTTCAGTACTTTGCGTTTGCGTTTGAAGTTAGTGGCAGACACTGAATTGGTTTACAATTCCACTCTTTTCACTGCTGCAGATTAATACTGAACGAGAACAACAAGGACGAGTTTACTTGTTCTTTATAACATTGTTTCTAGTTGTTTCGAGATTCAAAGTTCTCAAGTAGTACTACTTTTTGCAAAATCGATATTGTTACAATATTTCCACACTATCAGAATTTGTTATTTATTGTTATACGTTAATACTACTTCTGTTAATATCAGTAGAAAGATATGGGTTACATAAAAAAAGTTGACAAAATAATGAATTACTTACTTTTGAAAAAAATTATATCATTTTGAAAATAGCTAGAATTACTTGTGTTAAATTGGGGTGTGTATATACGTGTGGAAAATATGGATCACATAAAAAGTTTGACAAAATGAAAAATTATTTGCAAATTTTTAAAACATTTATATCATTGCGAAAATAATTACTGAAAATTGTGCGAAATGTGTAAATTTACAAAATACTTTGAATTCGTATAGTATGGTAAGATTATGGTAAGAAAAATTTTCGAAAATGTTGAAGT